CTCAAAAGAGTATGTGACACAGGACTCAGCCTCCCCAAGGGTTTTATACTCAAAAGGCATTGCTTCTGGTAGTAGAAAACACAGTTATTCTCAGAACTAAAGCACTCCCTACTGTCTATTTGAGTACAGGATAGTCAATAGCTATCCTATTTAGTCAGAACAGATTCTCCAACTGTACCTAAACAAATTGCCAAAAAGTGCTAAGACCGCTCCAAAAAAAAGCCTTTTTATAAGTTCTTTCAAATAACTGGTTAAAAAGGATCTTACTCCGGGCGCGGTGGCTGACGCCTGTAATCCTAGCACTGTGGGAGGCCGAGGTGGGTGGATCACGAGGTCAAGAGATCGAGACCAGCCTGGTCAACACGGTGAAACCCCGTCTCTACTAAAAATACAAAAAATTAGCTGGGCATGGTGGTGTGCTCCTGCAATCCCAGCTACTCAAGAGGCTGAGACAGGAGAATTGCCTGAACCCAGGAGGCGGAGGTTGCGGTGAGCCGAGATCGCGCCATTGCACTCCAGCCTGGGTAACAAGAGTGAAACTCCGTCTCAAAAAAAAAAAAAAAGGATCTTACTACAGAATGGTAAGCAGATAATTTGGGTAACGTAATGCTAAGAGAATGAGTCAGAAACATCATCACTCTTGTAACCTTGACCCTGAATTTTGTCTGAAACTTCTACATATTTTTAGTGGCATGTGAGTACAGATGCTACACATGAAAATGGCAACACTTAAAATTCATAGTAGCAAAAACCATTATTCTTCCCACTGGACCCCTTGAACTTTAATAATGTCTGACCTGGTTGGCCAGTAAGTTCTGAAAGCAGACAGAAGAAAATTGCAAGTATTAAACATTGCTGGAATGATTTTTCATTTAGAAAGATGTTACAGTTCTCTTAAAAACAGGTCACCAGTTCTGCGGACACTTAATTTTCTTAAGGGAGTAGCCACTGCAGAGAACAGATACCCACCCTTGTTTATGCCAAGAGAATCTAGCTGAGAACTAGATTCATATATTATCCTTACACATAAAGCAAAAATAAATACACAACCACATACACACTCACACACAGTTATATATAAACCCATCCAAATGAAAGATAAAGTGTGGCAAAATAAGTAGATGTGAAAGAACACTATGTTTTTTCCAAGATAAATGGCACAAAAGCCATCTCATTAACCATCCAAGGGAGATGATATACTATACAACTACATCTAGATAACCACACATTAATAATTTTCACATTACACAACTGAAAAGATTTATAAAGGCACAATTTAAGAATCTACCTTGCTTAAGTCACTTAAAAGAAGCAAAGTGACAAGAGGAACAAGCAATTAGGTATTTCTCTACAACACCACAATTAGAAGTGACTTCCTACATGCCCCTTGCTTTACTCGAATATCATTTCAGCATGCAATTATCCCTGTGCTTTGATGCAGTTGTCATCTGTTTTGTTTTTAATGCAAATACCTACTTACTGATTAAATATTTCCCATATTATAGTTTGTGAACCATTTCTCATATTTTGCTGATAAACTACTTTAGCAAGATAGCCAATCTTTGAGACCCCTTAGACAATATTCAGCCAGAGGAGCTCTAAAGTACATGCCCTGCTTTGACATGTTAGAGAGCTGAAGCACGTGGTCACATAGAATGCTGTATAAGGGAGAAGCTCTCATCTTTTCTCTCTCAGACTGTAGAAGGTTTCCTTTCACAGCTTTACAAAAACACCAGCCTCCAGATTGGCAGGGCATTATCCTGGCACTACATCCTTCTAAAAAGCTTAACACATCCTGTGTGAAAAACAGGAACTCTTTCTATCCACATGGACAAAATGGAGCTCCAAGACAGTAAGTGATTTGCCCAGGGCCATGCTCTTAGCACTACCTCGAAACTGGCTTTGGAAGCCAGACCTCCTAGCTGGTCTGGATCCCCAGACATGGATCTTCTGGCCCAAGAAAGGTGATGGTCTCTTCCCAGCACTCAGCTAAAGAAATACATTTCATAAACCATATCTGGTTAATCACTTTTTAAATGCAATAGAACTGAGTTTAATTTTTTTCTCAAACTCCTGGCTTCAAGCGATCTGCCTGCCTCAATCTCCTTTTTAAAGTGCTAGATTATAGATGTGAGCCACCACACGTGGTCCACTAAGTTTTTCATTTTAAGTTGATAGACTCGTGATTCTTTATAATTATAGTCCTTTTTAAAAATATTATTTTTACTGTTTTACGTAAGTTTTTATTTTTAGCACTTTACTAACATCGCTCCTATCAAATTTTCAATTCAGATGATATGATCAAGATATAATAGGCCAGGCAGGTGTGCTGGCTCACGCCATAATCCCCACTTTGGGAGGCCAAGGTAGGAGGAGCCCTTGAGAACAGGAGTTCATGACCAGCCTGGATAAAAAAGGGAGACCCTATCTGTAAAAATAATTTTCAAATACATGTTAGGCATAGTGGTTGCACACCTGTGGTCCCAAGCTACTCAGGGGGCTGAGCCAGGAGGATCATTTCAACCTATGAGGTTGAGGCTACAGTGAAGCCACAATCATGTCACTGTACTCCAGCCTAGGCAACAGAGCCCAAGACCCTGTCACACATATATATTTGTGTATAACTTTAAAAGGCAGAGTGAAAAGGGGAAAATATTAAAACATGCCTAACTTTTAAAGTTACAATCACGAGATTGCTTGCCAAGTATTTTTTTAACATATCGTCTAAAGAAAAACAACTTTTACCAAAACAGTGTATCAAACAATAATAACTGCACTAAAAAGTGATAACATTTTCTTTATAGAAAGGATACAGATATCTCTATATTGATCTTCCATACCTTCCTTCTGGAAGTAAGACCCTTAAAAAAGAATAACTCAAGGACACCATAAATAAAGTAAAAAAGAGAACAACAGACTCGAAAAAAAATACTTGCAAACCACATATATAAGGCTTGTATCTAGAATATGGAAAGAACTCCTTCAACTCAATAAAAATGACAACACAATTAAAAAATGAACAAAAAATATGGATAGACATTTCTTCAAAAAAGATATATAAATAGCTAATAAACACATAAAAAGATTCTCAACATCATTAATCATTGAGGAAATAGAAATCAATACCACAGTGAGAGACCACTTCATACCCACCAGGAAGGGTATAATCAAAAGGACACAATACACAGGTGTTGATGAGGATTCTGTGACACTGAAACCCTCATACATTCCTACGTGGAAACGTAAAACGACGCACCTACTTTGAAAACCAGTTTATGGTTCCTCAAAATATTAAACCATATGACCCAGAAATTCTGCTCCAAGAGAAACAAAAACATATGTCAACACAAAAATGTATACACTTATGTTCATACAAGCATTAATCATAACAGCCAAAAACGAGAAACAACCAAATGTCTCCAAACTAATGAAAGGATAAACAAAAGGCAGTATATTCATACAACGGAATTTTCAGCAATAAGAAAAAATGAGACAGTATGAACGAATCCCAGAAACATTATGCTAAGTTAAAGCTAGTCGTATTGTATAATACTGATTATATAAAATGTCCAGACAGGCAACTCAATAGAAACAGATAGATTAGTGATTGCCTAGGACTGAGGTGAGCCAGTGGGAGAATGGGGAGCCATGCCTGACAGGTACTGGGTTTCTCTTTGAGCTCATAAAATATTCTCTAAGTAGATAACAGTGACAGACTCACAAGTTTGTGAATATACTAAAAGCGACTGAATTATACACTTAAAAAGGGTGAATGCTATAGTATGTGAATTGTATATCCATAACAGATTACAGTTGAAAAAAGAATATTATATAACATACAGTACACCTAATTTTAAATTGGAATGAAGGAAGGAAGGACAGAAGAAAAAATAAAACGAAGTTAAGAGGGAAGGAGGGAAAGAGAGACACACACACATAGGCAGATCTCAAAGAAGTCAGTCATGGTCGTGGGCACGCTTCTCATGGAACCAGCCTCCAAATGGAATGCAGTCACACACACATTGGGTCATATGAAGTAAGCTATTTTATTTTACATATTGTAATGGAAAACTTTTAAGCAAAGCATTTTCTTTAATAAATTGGATATTTCTCACAGCTTAAATACTGTAAAATAACCTCCTCATGTTCTCCTGTGAACCACATCATCAATGTTCTTCATGTTTTATTTTCCTGACACACCAGTTAATATGTTATTTCCACTGAACACAATACTGGTCTTCAAACTATCCACAGTATTTAGGGATGCCACTTCCCACCCAACCAACAATTTGATAAGTTATTATAAGACTGGAAACAACGAAGAGGAGTGGAAGATCTTTCCAGTTCATTTTCAATGGGTACCAAGCATGACGATACCTACAGTTCACAGATTTCTGGTGACAGTTAAAATTTTAGCAACACACTTTTCCAACCTCAGAAACATAGGGACCAAGAAAACACCTCTGTCACAAGTACCACTGATCAACCCAGAAAATCCCACCAAAATGGTAGTAGAGAGTTAATAAATCAACTCCTACTGCTTTAAACCCCAATTCAAAACTCTGTGACTTCCAACCTGTTTGGGTTAATCCCTAGACAGGTGGCAACCTTACTTAGAGTAAATTAACCACCCCCTAATTGTACAAAAAGAGCTTGCTGATAATTGACAGGAACACAGCTAAATATGACTGTGACCCTTAGGGAATAAAAAAATTACATAACCTCCTTAGAGGTTAAGGGAATAGTGACTTCTATAAACAGAGATTTTAATTTAACAGAAAACATTTAAAAATAAAGTTTAGGTATACAGTCTTTTAAGAAATTAAAACAGACATCATAAGCAGGTAAATACAGAGCTGCTGTGGGAGGAAATTAAATTATCCAAGACTGCTTTTACCCAGGAGCTTTTTAAGCTTCAAGCTGTATGGCTTATTTTGGATGATTTTTCAACCAGATAATAAAAAGCAATTTCATTGAAGTGCTACAGTCACAGAGTTTACCACATGAAATCCTTCTAAGCTTCATTTCCACATCTCTTCATGGGTACACCCCTAGCATTTGTTCATTCTTTGGGAAGCATACTTTCCTCCATGTGTGTGCAGAGTCCCCTGGAAAAAATCCCAAACTTCATCATTCCCCTATTCTCATTTGCTTCAAAAAGTACTCGGCTTTCTGGAAATGTAGAAGTCAGACTTTCAGTCATCTTCATAAGCCAAAAAGTATATTTGTTCCTTTTCCATTAAAAAGAGCAGAAGTCACATGGGAGCCAGTATTTCTAAAATAATGAATCAAAACTTTGAAAGACCCATGCTCAGAAATATATTCATATTCTATATATTTATATATAAAATATATGTAACACTACACAATGCATGATGCTTTTAAAAAACCACCATCAAGGTTATCTGCTGTGACTTCATATCATCAGACAGAAGGAGGCGGATGGAATTCTGGAGTAAGATAACACTCATGTCAAAACAAATAACAAAAGAAACTCGTAGTCCTCCAGCATGCTAATGAGCAAGTGATAAGCTATAGGTCAAATTCCCACTTCTACAATCAAAACTTATCATAGGAGCTCTTGAAAAGGGAGTGCATCTGTCATATATTAATGACTTCAAGCATTCATTAAACTTTTAGGTATATAGGAAAACTTAAAAGCACTTCACAACTCCTTGTGGGTATAATTAGCCTGTTGGAATTGTTGGCAATTCTCATTTCGGGACTTTAAAAGGTCACTCCACTCTTTAAGATACCAAATTTGGAGGTACTTTCCCTTCTGGACAGATTAGGCACACCCTGCAATTAGTATACACAGCTGCACCTGTTGCAAAGCCTTCAATGATGTAAATGGGGACAGTCAACAACATTCTAAATTCTTGAGGGACTATTAGATCTTGGAAACCAAGTGATGAACAAATCTGATGTCTGCTATTAAGGTGACGGATGGTGGTCACACCCTGACCACACACAGAAGCCACATTTTTTATTTATAGGCAATTCCAGCTAACACAGAAACCTCAATCACTTGACTCTCTCAATCTTGTATGCAGTCAACATGCAATTTTGCTATTTAACAGAACTAAGTTTTTCATAATCTAGTTGAGTTTCTACAAAGAACAAAGAGAATTCCAGGTTTAAAAAGAATACAAGTAACAAAAAAAGCATTATTTATTTATCTAAACTTTACTAAATCATGGTGAAGTAAAAATGCTGCTAGTCACATAAGGGGAAAAGTCTTAACAGTTTATAAATTTGTAGCTCAAAGCTACTCAAATACTTTAATCGGTTAATCCTTTACAAAAGTATGATACACATTGACAATGATAGTGATTTCACTGCTATAGTATAAAATAATATAGATATTTAAAAGAAATGCATTTAAGAAAAAGGTATGAATTTAAGAAATCAGATTCAAAGTTTGAGAAAGTCTGATATAATTGTCATTAAATAGTAGTTAAATCTTAAACATAAAGCCATAAATTATGTCCTTCCTTACTTCCTTCTGTCCTTTTCTAATGAAAGAGAAGCGCAGAGGACACGGTTCTAAAGCCCCCCTTCTCTTTAAACCATGTGTGTCTTAGACATTTTCTATGCCAGAAAACACAATTCTGTGGCAGCTGATATATGTGGCCACATAAACAAAAAAGAAATACCATAATGCTGTTTTAAGCTAAGATATCCTTGGTACATCTATTAGGCAAAGAACCTCTTATTGTCACCACAATATGTGAAATATCATCATATATGCTTAAGTGCTTTTTCTTCATATAGAAACTCTTTTCAAAACATAATTGGAATTTTATAAAACAGGAAAAGAGCTTTTTTTAAAGGCATTTTACTACCTTACTGCTAAGGAGGCATACTTTCTTCTGAGTGTATTCAACTATATGTAGAAATACTTTTAAAAGTGATGAGACTACTTCAAAATTAGCATTCTAACTTGAATAAAACCAGCAGGAGTTGATTACATTCTTACTGCTCTCCAGAAGTATTTTCATCTGATATTTACTTTAAAATGTGTATTTGTGTGTGTGTGTGGTATATGTGCTCACCTTTAAAAAGTCATAGAATTATGGAATTGATAATTTTTTTTACGTTTGCTGTTGGGTCTATATGGTAATCAAATTTAGAAAACTATAAATTATATTTAAATTTATTATTTACAAGCAATTAATTATAAGAAAAAACAGCCAGGTGGCTTTCATTATATAAATTACTGTTAATGACAGAGACCTCATGCTGCGACTGTATTTAGCATTTGCATGTGTCAAGTGCACATAGTGGTGTGAAACTCCCCTCTTCAGAGTGGAACCAGGCATTGAAGCAGAAGGCAAGACACCCAAGTTTCGGATCACACCCGAACCAGTCCTTTCAGCCTGACATATTCCAAAGGTTTCCAAGTTTGTAGCAGAAAATTTGTCTTGCAATAACGTTTTGGGGAAACAGCTTTCAAACCAGATACAGAATTACTGATCATCAAATAGTGTTTACTTACACTTAGTTACTTAAAGTCCTATCTGTATGATTTAAATATTACCAAAACAAATGTTTAATCAATTTGCCATAAACCAAGTAAGGCATCTATTAATGTCTCACAAATGCAGTTTTTAAAATAATGTTTAATGTTGCTTTCCTACTACAGAAACTGTGCTAAATAAATGAACAATAACTTTCTTTTCAGGGTTCTGTCTCTCTTGTTTTACTTAGCCTTTTGTAGTGATTCTTCCAACTCTACGGTAGGTATAAGTCCCTTCCAAAACAATGAAGAATTTTATGTCTTTATGCTGAGAAAAAAAACTTGAGTTTCAAGGATATAATAGAATAGGAGTTCATATGATACAGAAGGAAACAGAAAAAAAATAAAAATAAATAGCGAATAAGTTTTATCCTATTTCAAACACCATCCCAAACAGAGGCCTAAATAAGTATTTCCAACCCCCTCCCTCAGTACCATCAGAAAAGGGAGAAAGTTTTAAGAAAATGTTTTGTAAATGATAGAATAAAATTCCAAAATTACTAGAGTCTTCCTTTCTAAGCAAATAAAAAATTATTAAAAATTTAACTGAAAACTCTCTATTGAGATCGCTCTCTGGCATTCAAGAATTAACTGCCTAGTGAAGATTATCTAACCCTTCACTTTTCTTCTTCCTTTAAGAAGTCTGCCTTATAAACAACCACCAGAGATATGGGTAATGGAAGCAGGTTAGGAGGGAGTATATCTTTAGCCTCTGAGAAGTTAGTCTACATTTGGGGAGCACAAAGAAAAGGTGGGCATAAAATAATGGCTAATAGTTAAGGAAGGAGAGTCTGCACTTACTAAGTACAAGGATAAAGTAACAGGATGGAGTTTTTCAGCTAAAAGAAGGTACTAATTTACTCACATTATCTTTGGTTAAAGTGATGATCCTGGTGAAGGTGTGGGGTTTGTACATTTAGCACCAATGATGCCATCATGGCTCAAAAACATAACATCTCTTTAAGAATCACTTTAGAACCACTTTAGCAGTTACACAAGAAAACCAACTTCACAGTCACATCTTACATCTCACCAAACTACAGGGTGGCCACCAAGTCTAGAAACACAGACAAACATCCAATAAGGGATTTATTGCTACTGAATTATAACACATGGCAAAATAATTATGTCTCTAGAATTCACGATCACCTGCTAACATCAGCCTCCTTTTTTCGAACTTAACGATGCCTGTTTGTCTCCATTATCAAAGCACCAAAGACACTGAGCCACATACTCTAAAAATACTTGCCAAAAGAGAAGTCTCAAAAGTGTTTTTGCTATGATTACAGTGTGTCCCCAGGAGGAAACAGTATTCATTACAGCACTTTTAAAACACTGAGTCACTAATTGATAGTTGCAATACATGCGAGGGAAAATGAAAGTTCAGTTACTAGAGGACATTAGAAGAGTTAGATAGAAGACAAGATGTAGGTGCTGACAGCCTGGCAGGCACAGGGCACACCACCAACCGAAACCATCAGCACCACCCACTGGAGCGGCTGGTAGCATTCACTCTGAGCACATACGCTTAAGAATTCACAGCAAGTGAAATTCAAACTCTTTCCTTCTTACTGTTACATAATAATTTTTCAGCACCCTATCAAGACTTTTTCATGTATTCCTAATCTCAATTAGTAGTAATAGTAGTAATAGTAGCTTTATCGCTATGAATACAAAAAACAAAAATTGAGAGCTGCCTATCAAAAAAAGCCTGAGTGTTTTGGTGTCTGGTGCAAGTTAATGATTCAGTGATACTGTGATCGGGTCATGTTCATGATGAATTTTCAGAGGGCAGCCTAGAAAAGTCAGTCAGCACTGCTGTCTATTTTTATGATGCTGGAGGCAGTACAATGGTAGAGCTCACTGGCGCTGTGTGCCAGGCAGGACACGAGGATTTTACTCACAGGGTTAGGAATTCCAATCACAGAGAAGGCCAAAGGCAAGGCCTAATGTAGACAGTTAAGATAAAGCAGCTTAGCTTGAAGAGGAAGATAAAAATGTTCTGCTTTGGAAACTGCCATATTTGTGACCTCATGGCAGACTGAGAAACCCAAAGAGCTCCACAAATCACACAAGTAGTTAGTTCACTGGTGTTTAACAATGCCGTGTGGCGGCTCAGTTGTGAATCCCCAGAAAGAGAAGTTCATGAGGTTTAACAACAGGTGACTGATCACCTCAGTAGGTCCAATTTTGCAAAAATATCCATGCCAAAGATCACAGAGGCACCTGTTTGACATGGTCGAGGTTGGTAAGTGTTACACTAGTCTCCATCTGAATTATGTAAGCTACACGCCTAAGATTACAAAAAGAAAACGGGGGATAGAAAAAGGCCAAATCTGCAATCACAAACCTGCCTTGATTCCAGCCACTAAAATGTCACATAAAGACCCCCTTTCAGTTCAAGTTAACCTGTCCTCAAGGGTAGGACACTTACACATGGTACCTAGTCTCAACCCCTAATGAAATCCCGGTTGGTAAGGTCATTCACATTCTAAAAGGGAACCAACTCCTCACACTGCAGAATGTTAGCACTGCACAATAATCCACAGTTAAGTAAATGCTGAAAGGAACCTTTTACTCCTTTTTTTTTTTAATAACCCTATTTGGGACATCAAAACACTGTAGCATTACTTCCTAAAAATAAAAGAAATCATGTTGAATCACATGAAACAGATCTATTTACTGTCCGTCACTCCAGAGTAAAAGTCAATGACTAACTTAGAATTAACCATTGAAATAGGGAAAAAGACAAATAAAAATGGATTGAAAAGTCTATCTACAAATGTTGAGGTAAGAATTCATCTAGGACCCATTTCTTTTGTCCAGTTTTACATCAAAGTTTTATAAATTACTGAAAACTATACTTTGATGGAAAACATGACTCTACTACTAGTTCTCCTGGTGTACATGGCACCAGAATTAATGTCTTTGACATGTGGTTGTGGATTTTTACACTGCCACCAAAGTGCTCAGTGAATATACAAATTTCACTAAACCAAGCCATAAACAAATCTTTAACTGAAAAGGTCTGTCTACTCATTTATAATCTGTTACCTGGAAAAAAAGCAGAAGGTCTCTCTAGCCACCTAATCACCATATCAATGACACATGCCACAAGAGAGAAGCACTAGTTTATTTGATTGATCATGGTAGATAAACTCCAAATAACAGAGAAATTAACAAATGCTTGACATTTGCTCAACATCCATTATTCTGACACTGCTTTCAGAATTTCAAAGCCTGGGAGTATGCTTAATCAACATTCATATTCCCTTGTGAGCTACAGGCACCATATTGCACCCCGCCTTCACACTGATGAAAACTGCATATTGGCCATTTCCAAAATGTTCTGGGACTCCACACAGGGCCCCTTTTCTCTCTTGTTCCTGCTCTGCAGTTTTCTTTTAAACACTTCCAAGACAAAAGCATCTGCCAGTTTTTCTCTCTAGGGATGTATGCAAAATGAACTTAACAGTTTTAAGGCAGGAGTAACCCTCACATCTAAATTCATTCATAGGACAGAAAAGGGCCTAAGAGGCCTCTCCAGGGACAAAACCCTGCTGAAATTCTCCCCACACACAACAGTGGGAGCTTTATAAAATCTAAGTCCAGACAATTTCCAATTCAAATGCCCAACATAGCATGACCTTTGTCAGATCTCTGAGCCCAAGATGCACCCATGATTTTTTATTCTAACCAGCACAGACATTAGACAGGGCACTATTGCTAAGCAGGAGGTTCAATATTTGCATGCTCTTCTATTGTGAAAATGTAACAGTGACAGCACTGTGTCAAATTCTTTTCCCTCTAGAACTTTA